AAAAAAAGAAAAAAAAAAGAAAAAAAAGAAAAAAAGAAAAAAAAAGAAAAAAAAAAAGGAAGCAGGGGTAGATCCCGGGGGTCCCGCGTGCGGTGCCGGGTGTGCCCAGGAGGGGGAGGCAGACACGCGGAGAGCGGGGAACGGGCCGACAGGGAGCCGGGAAAGGGGAATGTCCGGGGGGTGTCCCGGGGGATGTCGCGAGTTCGAAGTTACGGCTGCCCCATCCCTGGAAGAGTCCAAGGCCAGCTTGGACCAAGCTTGGAGCAGCCTGGGCTGGTGGAAGGTGCCCACGGCAGGGAGGGTGGAAGATGACCTTTAGGGTCCCTTCCAACTCAAACGATTTTGTGATTCTATGAAACACGACCCTCAAGGAGCCACTTTAGTACAGGTGACAGGCTTGGCCCCCCAAAAAAAACACCAGAGTTTTGGGCATCACCACCTGCAGCACAGCTGGCACCAGGATAGGACAGAAGATAGTGAAGGAGGAGCTGAAAGGTTACACCTCATTTTCCAGCTACCCGGTGCTCCTCCAGTCAGGGAGCATTTGGGAAGGGCAGACCTGCCCCCGGGCACTCTATCACATCAGTACCTGGGAGGGTTCCAGCTATTTTCAAGCCTGGTGATGCAGATCCTCAAGGTTTTGGTTTTAAAACCAGAGCAGCACTAAAAAGAAAAACAACAGTGTGTCATCTCTCAGGTCAGAGATGAAGACCAGGAATGCACAAGGCATTAGTGCTTCTCAGGATACACCAGGAACAGGCAGGATGGCCAGGGAGGGCAGAAAGGCAGACAGAGGGAATGGTGACAAATCCATCCCAGGAACTGGGGCCTTGCAAGGACAGGCAGGCAGCCAGTCTTGTGCTCCAGGGATTTGCAGACTCCTTGTCCAGATTGCTTTGCAAAAACAAGGCACTTTTACACTGGGGGCGGTTTTGGAAAGTACACGGGATTCTTGCAACGGAGAGACAAAGCCCAGGAGAGAAAGAAAGGGGAGGAGAAAAACAAAAAAAGACAACCACAGGTTGTTCCAGGCAGCACATCCAAGAACCTGTCACAGCCACACGAGGAACAAGAACTCAAAGATCGCAGAGTACGTCACTGGTGCACTGACAAACACGGCTCCCACGGAGCTCAGGAGGGCCCTGGGAGCACATGGGAGCTTTTCCTGGGCCTGGATCGCATTCTCAAAGGACCTTTGAGGGCACACTGGTGACAGAGCAGGCAACAAGTACACGCTACTCCATCACCCCTGAGAGAGCCTGGGTGTTAGTCCCAATTTGTTCCCTTCGTCCCTGCTAAGCCAGACCCCCTGGAGCAGGAATTCCCACCAGGGAGAAGGGAATTAGATTTTCTCAATGACAATAATCCATTTAAATACAGCACTTCTGAGGAGCCTCAGCACCATTCCCAGCGAGCAGCCCTGCTCTCTGCACAGCCCACCCTCTCCCACCTGCCTGGGGAGAGAGATGGGTCCTGTCCCTTGAGAACACCAAGCTGGTAGAGCAGAGGGGCTTGGACAAACAGCAGTTTCCTCCACGTCTTGCTTAAAAGAGCAGCTGTTTTAATCCAAAACAGGATGAAGTCACCTGTGGACTTGCTCCCAGAGCAGCTGATCCCAGGCAAGCAGAACAGCTCTGCCCTCACTTGAAGGCCTACGTTGGTTAAACAGGGTTGGCTTGAAACTTGGTGGAGAAAGACCCCCAGCACATTGTTCTCCTGCTTGAGGGCACAGACATGCTGCTGTCACCAGAGGACAGGCACAGGCCTCTCCACTTCCCTCTGTCCCTTCTGGCTGCAAGGGGACAGCCCTCTCCAAGTGCCATCACAAAACTGATCACCAGAGACAGGACAGACTCACCTCAGGGTTCTGGGCTGCCTCTGCTTCACTTGCCTGGAGAAGCCCAGGGACAGTGGGAGTCACTGGAGGGGCAGATGCTGGAGGCAGCTCTGGAGCTGCTGACAAAGCCTCTTTGAGCTGCAGCCACCGAGCCAGGTCCCAGCGTGCCTCCCTTCTTGGTAAACCAAGGAGTTACACAAACACGAGCTCCCAGTTATCCAGCCCCAAAAGAAATTTCAGATCAGAAACAGTCCAAAAAAGCCAGTTTTAGAAAGTACCATTTATTTGAGGGGAAAAAAAAATAAAAATCAGTAACAGTGGAAAAACCCCAAGAGCAATTACACAAGAGAATCTAAGTATCCCGAGAAGCGGACACGGCTCCTGCCTTCCTGGTAGTGCTGTCACAGGCAGCACAGTCCTCCCTCTCCTGCCCAACCTCCAGTGAACTCTGTGCAGCTTTGAGAGCCTCCCAGAGCCCACAGTTTCCCCGAACACACTTGTACTGGGACCGAGTGAGTGAGTCACCCAGAGGAGCTCTCCTCTCCCACCCATGTCCCAGCACACACTTCCCTGTGTTCCCACCTCGCTTGCCTCACCCTGAGAAGGGGCTGAACTTTCTTCTATGGCCTCTCTGGTTTTGGCCTCAAGCCTACACTGCAAAGCCTCAGTAAAGAGGCTTCAGGAGCCATAAGATTTCTGAACAGCCTTTGCAACTGCCTGGTTTAATGCTGCCTACCCAGGCACTCAGCTTGGGGACCCACGCTCTGATTTTTGTTTCAAACCACACCAGACTGAGCTGCAGGAGGACATGACTCACACATAGCTCTGTAAGACCTTCCTAACAGAGGTATCAGACACACATGTCACCCTTTGCTCTGGGAGCACTGGGGGGATTGGTCCAATCCAACTCCCAGTGGGGGAAGGAGCCATCCACGTACAGGGTATGTTAAGAAAGACCCATGGCAGGGGGTTCAGAGCTTGCACCTCTGAAAGCTCAGTGCTCCCAGGTGGGAGATGCTGACCAGAGAGAGCTCAGTTACCAGACCCAGCCTTCCACAAGAGGCAGGACTCGGCACAGCACCGCAGGGGACTCTGCCACGCAGCCAACCCCCAAACATTAAGTTATGACCTCCAAACCACAAGCTTCCAATGCCTGCTTCAAAGAGCAAACCCAGGTGGGGATCTCTGCTCTGATTCTCGAGGATCAAACCCAGCACTGATTCTTGAGGATCAAATCCAGCACATCACCAACCCCAGCCCTCCTCCAGGCACAGCCAGGACACGGTGATGGAGCCCCAGGGCTGCTCCCAGCTCCCTTCCCGAGCCTCTTGTGCTTTACACAAGACAGTGGACAAACAGCAGCACAAACAAGATCAAAAGCCTCTTACACACTGTAAGGCTGCTGAAGAACTAACTCCAGCCTCTTCACTGTTAACTGTATATTTCTCAGTAAAATATATAATATATAGCTCTATAGGACTGATTGTAATATATTACAGCCTAGAAATACTCTTGTCTTTTCCCTACTTCAATCATATTATGCATCCAACTTTGCATACAGAAGTTATTGCCTTGAATTTATAGTTGAAATTCACAGAATAAAGCTTAAATAGTTTTCACAGAGACTCATTATATTAGTGTTTTACATAACAAGCATAAGAGTTACCAAATGAGAAAGCAGCCATTTCAGAAACTATAAATAATTCTATTTAAAAAAAAAAATCCTAAAAAAAGTTACGAGAAAACCATAAATATCTTTACCCTCTACAGTAGCTGCTATAGAACTAGAAGAAACCTGTAACACACTGTAGCTAACTCTGCTTCAGTTCAGAATATGAATCATATAAAACAGCATCTCTAGACAAATGCCCGGCCAAAGGAAACACAAAGGGATTGAAAAAATAAATCTGAGGAAATTAAAAAAGTAGATTATTTTTTTTATTATTTCAAAACAATTTCTACAAACTTTATATAAACATTAGGCTATTTTCTTTAAAATTTTGTTATAAAAAAAATCCTACAAGCAATCCTTTAAAAAAAGGTAAGAGACTGAAGGCAAGGAAAGGGTGTCACCATAGCCAAACACAACTGGCTGTCCGGATTTCAAGGACTAATGACCCTTGCCTGGGGCCAACAGGAAGGGACAGAAGTCTCCTGGGGAAGACATTCCCATAGGCCCTTTATGGCATTCAGGGATTTTGAGCCCCTGTGGGCCTTTTACTCCCTGATAAGGCAACATTATCTGTAGTGTAAGAGATTCATAAATAGTTCTCCACAAAAATGCTTCACATCAACAGCCTGCAAGACATCTAGTAGCGAGATTTATAAAAAAAGCCATCTTCTATAGAAGCAGCCAATCCCAACACAGCACGCTGGATGCAAACACATGGTGTTTGCTTCCATACAGTCTGGTTTGTGTTTATATACCCTCTATAAAACCAAGCAGAAAATTTGGCATCTTTATTCTTTTTACACTAGCTTAGGAAAAAAAAAAAATACACTGAGTTGTTGTTTGTTTTTTTTCAGACTCTTTGTATTTCATTGGGCCCTTGTTAGCTGAGTGGGATGGGAAGGGTCACGAAGGAAGTTTGTTTGTTTGGTTTTTTTTCTCTCAAAGTCACTTTGAAATTCAATCCAAAAAGAGCATTTGTTCAGCACATCTCATCTGAGGGCACAGTGTTTCCATACAGTTTGTTTGTCCCTTGATGGGCACAAGGTGCTGCTGAGCTTTAAGCATAGAACTCGTTTGTGGGGGCTTTCTTGTAGATGGGTTTCTTCCCCAGGTCGTAACTGCCCTCGTCCTTTTTCTTCATGCGATAGACCAAGAGGAGGATCAGGAAGATGGCAAACAGGAGGCCCACTGCTCCTCCTGCAATGAGAGCTGGGGAGGAAAAAGAACATGGAATAAGTCAGCTACATCTCAAAATCTGCTTCAAGAGTACCAGCCCCCAGAACTGCCTCCAGAGTCAGTGTCCATGTGCCTGTCACCATATGTGCTGGCACTTCCAGCAACAGCAGATGTTACTGGGAAAGGCCAGAGACTGCTTCCAATCCAACCACAGAATATTCACATGTTCCACATTAACCAGTTTGTGCTAATCTTCCAGTTTAGTCCAAGAAAGAAATGCTGACAAGAAGATATCCTCCCTGTATGGAGGCAACACTAAAAAAATCCACCAAAAAGAGCCCCACCACTACCCACAGGAAAATGGTGTCGCTCCAATCTGAGTGCTTTGTTAACCCCCTGTGTGAGCACACCCTGGGGACTCTCTATTCCATTTCATCAGCAACATCCAGCTGCCAACACCACTCCCCTTAAAAAAAACCCCAAACCCACTACCTCAAATATCAACACCCACAAACCCGCTAAAAACCACCAAGATTTCTTCTCTCCTCACACCAAGGGTGGCCACAACACTTGACTGGTTTATCTTTAGCTGTAACACCTACTCCTTGCACTAAATCAGCTTCTTTGCTAGATGGCTTTGCAAGCTGCTCTTCCAGTCTCTTCTCCAGCTGGAAGGATGGCTGTGGATTGACACAGTCTGCCAAAGTTTGTACCTGAACTATCAGGCCAAGTGCTTGAAGCAGCACTGTGCTAGAGACAGGCCTTTCCCACCTGCTGCGGGGGAGCCAGTCTCTTGGTTTTGCTCTAGACATCAGTACTCAGATACCTACAGCTGGCCAGGTGTTCAAACCCCTTAGAGGGGTTGCTTGGCTCCTGAAAAGGCTCAGAAAAGGCAGGACTTGGGCACAGGTTAGTAGGAACATGCCTGTATTTGATATGAAAGTCTATGATGTCACTGGTTTACAGCCAGAAACGCCTCTTGTTGAGGTACTATCTGGGTGCAGAGCAGCTGCCACATGACTTAAGCCAACAGTCAGCTGGCAGGCTCAAAAACAAGCTGTTTACCCCGGCAAGGCAAGCAGCAGGCTCTGCTGTTGTTTAAGCACTAGAAAGCAGAAGTCACCCTGCTACAGGTAGTCACAGAGGCAATGAAACTCATTCCCCTTGTCAGGAGGGAGCTGCTCCCCAGAGAAACAGAGAACAACAAAAGGCATTTTGATTTTCAGTATTAATGATTTATCAGGAGAAGGTGGAATATTACCTGTAAGGACTTCTGTTCTTTCAAAGATGCTGCTGTTGGCTGTGCTTGCCATGGAGATCTTGTTGGACAGGTTCTCTTCGACAGGTACAGCTTTGTCTGGAATGATTTCATTGTCCACCATTGTGTTTTTCTTCTCACCTTCTATCTTTCTCCCAGTATCTCCAGGGATATAGTTGTCAGATATCTACAGAACACAGACAAACCACACCCTTCAGTAAGCAGCACCCAGCCTACCTACAGCTGAAACCAGGAGGGTGTGCAGGGCATAGAAAGTTTGCTCAGTGCATTACAAGTACACTGTTCCTGCTCCTGCAGGTGGGTTCGTCCTGATGACACGTCTTGCAGGGGGGAGGGTGTTCAGGGAGTTCAGTTCAGACAAACTGAATAAGGAGCTACATATGTTGCTTAAAAACACACAGGGGCAATACCTACCAGAGGAGTATCCATGGTGGTCAGATATATGCCTTCTTCAGAGTCTGAGTAGTCTGCAGAGGGGGTAAAATAAAATAGAGAGGACTAAGTTTTATTCTCATTACATGCCATTTTCCCAGAATTCACACTTCCCATAATACCAGCACCTACAGACAAACTAGAACTCTTGTCCTCTACAGCTCCCTCTCCTCTACTAGTCCTTTTATCATTAATGACTTTGATTGCACAAGACCATGAGATGTAATCTTGAAACCCACACCTCTTATGGGAGGGGTCTTCAGCTGGATCCATTGGCCCCTGCAGGGCAGATCTGCCATAGCTTACTAAGGTAATGCCAATGGAGGGCATTGCTCCCACAGCCCATCCCTAAAGGATCATTCACCAACCCTCCAGATCTGCCCAAACATGTCAGCCACCGATTTCAGCACTTGTTCTTTTACTTTTAGAGAACAAATGTTCACATAAAGGGACACAGAGCTACAGAAACTGGTTTGGGCAGGGAGTTTTGCATGTCACAGAGAGTTCACTTGAACACCAGTTAGTCCTTCACCTTGTTTGGCCTCAGCTGAGATATTAACTCTAAGCCTTTTAATACTGCCTCAACAATAGATTTTTTTTTTTTGAGTTTCTCAGCAGTTCTTTGGAGTTCAACAGGAAAGAGATCCAGCCAGTGCAATGCCTTTTCACTTGCAGCAAGACAAGCTTGGCTACACTCCATCTGTCCTCCCCAAGTGATTCAACACCACAGCACAACCACTTTCACTGTTCTCATCTGAGTGACTACAACTAACAAGGCTCTCTCATCTCCACTTGACACTGAGGTTCCTCTGGAGCTCTGGCTGTGCATTTAGCCCATCATTCATGGGCTGGTGCTGAAAGAAATGTCACAGCATCAGCTGAGGGAGATCCATTCCCCTCCTTCCCCTACTTACCTCCAGACCCAGATGACTCATCTATGTCCAACCCATCAGCAGTTAAGTGAGGACTGAATTCACCAATGTCTTCATCATCTGGCAAATCCCCAGAGGCAGGGTAGTCAAGCCATCCAGCATCCATGGTCTCAGTTTCTCTCACCTGCAAAGGGGCGTGGAAAAGTGTTAAATATCAGGCAACTCGTCAGAAGCATTTCACAGAAGGTTCAGAGCCTGTGCTGAGCACGTCACTTCCAACAGAAAAACAGTAAATGCTGAACTTCCTCTCCACCAAAAGCATTATCGTTATCAGCCTGGAAATAGCTGAATTCCCCTAGAATTTCTCAGAACAGAAGTGAGAGCCAGCCTGGGAGGGGAATTTCCTGAGCACTACAGATTCAAGAAGTTCACCTAAACACACAGGGTGAAAACAACACAACAGGATCTTGGTCAGGAGTTTGCAGTAAAAGCATTTGGAAAAGCAATACCTTTGAAGGACTTGCTATTCCTGGGGAAAAAGCCCGGCACCTATAGGTCAGTTTTTTGCGTAACACCAAAGCCTCACAACCAAGGCAATTCCTCGCTTCTTGTATTGAGAACAAACCCATTTTATCACCCAAGGCTTAAAAACTGGTCTGTCAGTTCAGCTGAACTGCAGTGCAATACAGTGTGACGTTCAAGAGCACTCACTATCAGTAATGACTCGCCTGAAGGAAGAGCTTCCCCTGCCTCACCTCTTAAAAAGCATGTAAACAAACAAGCCTGTAAAATATGTCCAGGATCCAAAGGCCCAAGGAGTGCAGTTACAGCACAAAAGCTGGAGAGCCTCCCAGATATCAGCTGTTTGGCCACAATGGCAATTTGCACACCAAAGCTCATTTGCACTTGGGACTTTCAAGGAGCCACAAGCACAAACCTCCTGCCCTCACCAAGGTTATGCAACTTCCCAGAAGTATTTCTCCTCTCCCTACAGCCCTGGGGCCAGCCCGGTAAGGGTACCACAGGTATGAGCTCTGGGGTTGCTCAACACCAGCCCACAGATTCCAGGTGCTTCCACAGCCATGAAATCATCCCGGTGGAGGAGGACTCAACCCCTTCCCCTAAGGCAGATGGGATGGGTCTCACAGCCGGGGGCTAAGCTGGCAACATTCTTTCACGCTGAACGCCTGGAAAGACTGGGATGTCTTTACAAAGGTTTTATCAGGAGAGCATTTTTAAAACATCTCTTTACTCCAGTCCACCACATCCAGGGGGGCTTTTCTCAGCGACCAGGCTTACCATGAGCTACAGCCTCAGAGGGGTGAGAAGGATCAGAGACTGGGGACAGTCAGAGCTGCTGGGATCAGCCCTCCTGCTCCCCTGGCCAGGTGTGGCCCATCCCACAGCCCAGCAGTGACACGACTGATGAATTACATCCGCTATCGATCTCACACGCCAAGGCCAACAATCGGCCACAAGCCACGTGTCAGCTTCCTCTGCCCGCAGCCCCAGCCCAGATTCCAGCCCCATTTCCCTGCCCCTCAGCACATTTGCACACTGGGTTTGCCACAGACAAGGCTTCGTGGCCAGGCCAAGATGTTTCTTATTTTTCACCAGGAGCAGTGGCACTAGATGTGCTTTTTCTTTGCTTATTGAGGCATTTTGGGTCTCCCCAGCAACTCCGCTGCACTATAACCAGATGAACAGCCCAGAGGGCATGAAATGCTGAGGCCAGTTCTCCTCCCAGAACCATCTCTGCTATGCCAAGCCTGGCACTAGGTGTCAGGAAGGGGGCTGGGAGGAAGGTCAGCCTGGAAGAAATCCTCTCCCGGCCTGGAACCAGGCATTCCTAACGTTACGGATCACTCGCTCCAAGGGAAATTCATTTCAAGATACATGAAAACCAGCCAAAGCCAGCCCTGCAATGGAAACTGCTGCCAGCATGCAGTAGCTGTTCCCAGGGCAGCTCCTGGCCACTTCTTCCTGGCAGGAAGAGCTCAATTCCCAATCTAGGGCACCGGGACTGGGGAGCACGTTTGCTGCAGACCCATATAATCTGGCTGCTGCACTGGGCAGATTGATGTCGGCAGAAGTGCTGTGCCGAGCCACACCCCGGTGCCAGCTCACCCTGTACTTCACCATGAGTCACGGCCTGTAGTGTCCAAGCAAGGGCAGCTCCAGAAAAGCTGGGTTTAGTCCCCTGGAGTGGCTGGACAGCCCCCTGGCCGTATCAGCTCAGACCAGCCAGGAGCAGACAGGTACAGCCATGAGTACACGCTGTGGAACGCACCGGGCCAGGCTATCAGAAAACCCTATTGAAATCAGGACAGGCAGTGTTTACCAGCACAGGACATAAGGAAATTACTGACTCACAAGCATAAATAAGATTATATGGGAGCGTTCCCTGAACTCACTCTTCATCATCCTCTTGAGCAAGGACGGGGAAGTTCCTGGAAGCCACAAGAGCTTCTCAAACAGTACAGGAAACTTTTCCTGTGGGCAGTGAGCCTCACGTTCCAGATTCATCTGCCAGGGAAGTCAGAGAGCTGCTGGGCACCTCCATAATTATCCTTCAGGTTTCAAGGCATGTACTTCTAGGAAGCTGGCTCTAACTGGGAGCTGGGGCATGGGCAGCCTGGGAAGAGTTAACACTGGAGTGTGGTGCTTGAAGGGCAGGTCTGGAGCAGGCACATTCCTCACATACACACCTGTGAAAGGGCACACAGGCACTTTCACAGACTTACAAGCACGGGGCTGCAGGCTTCCCAAGTGCCACATAAAGAGCTCCCTGGAGTTCTTTGCTTAATAAAAGTACACCCCTTTCCAAGGGCATCCAGTCCTCCCTAAAGCTTTGCTACTTGAAGGGGCACTGCGGAAGGCAGCCGTACTTCCTCTGGGCTTGCAGGCTCAGCCAAGAGGAAAAAGCTATGAGACTGCCCCAGGATGATGGTCAGCCCTTGCCAAGTCATCTCTGGCCACATTCAGCTTAACACCTTCTGCAACTGCCAGCTGGAGAAGGACACCAGCGCTGCTCAGAGTCTGCTTTCCACCACCTGTTGTCCCAGGACTGGAGCCAGGCCAGGGACTTGCTGGGAGAGTCGGACTGGGTGGCTGCAGAGCTCCACCTCACCCTGGCAGCTGAAGTCAAGTCCTACTATTAATATGATCCTCTCTAGGAGGGGTCTGTACAGAAATCAACCTTTCCTGTGGGAGTCTAGTTACAGATTTCTTCCTCATGTTAAGCAGCTTTATCCCCAGTAAGCACCATGGGAGATTAAACAGTGTGCTGGGGACCAGAAGCTTTGCCTGCCTGCCAGTGGCAATAAATAAATAAATAAATAAATAAATAATAGATTTCGTGCCAGACAACCAGCTCGTGAGGCACGTGAACTATGAGCATCATTCCTGGAAAAGCTGGGCACAGAGATCTCATGTTTGAGCCCAAGGCAGGCTGTACTACTGGATGAAGCCAGACACTGTTTGCTCAGTGGAGGCACAAGAATCGCACCCCTGGCACCCCAGGCAGCACTGCTGTGCTCCATTCCTAGCCCACCTCACTCCATTTCATGCTCCTGGGGCCTTCCCTTACAGCCCCAGGATACTCTTCAGCTCTTCTCAAAGCAAGATCATCTATTTATTGAGGCAGCAAGCAAAGTTTGAATGCAAAGTGTGAATTTCCCCAGCCGCTGGCGAGTTCTGGGAAATAACAAACCCAGGCAGCTCGCCTGCCCCAGCCCACATGTCCTCACCACAGCCTTTGCAAACCCTTTCAAAAAAACCCAAATGATGTTTCGGGGCAGAGACAAAGTTTTCCAGACATGGAACTGGCTTTTACAGCTGGCCCTTGTCTCTGATCAAACACAGAGTTCATTAAAAGCTCCTTTGAAGGGTCACAGCCAGCAAGTTGCAAAGGGAGTCAGACCTGCAGGGACTGGGGCAGCCACAGCGCACGGAGCTCTTTATCAAGTTTATTATTTTGGCATGGAGACCCAGTGCTTGCTCCTGGTCTCCCTCTCCAGCGCTATGTACACAAATCCAGGAGTAAACAAGAGCAAGGTGAAAGTCAACCTTTCCTAGACAAAAGCAGATGGAGCTGGGCCAGCCTGGGAGGTGGCAGGAGAGGGGGCAGAGGCACAGACCTGTTAACTCTTTGTAGCCTGCAGGGACAGGCAGGTGTAAGCTGCTCCCAGGGCTTTTCTCAGTTGCTCTGTACTCAGGGACAGCCCTACAGATCACCTTATTTCACTTCAGCAAGCAGGGCTACACAAAATATCCTTCCCAGACCTGTGCTGTCATGAAGAGATGTCACCTCACACCACCACAATGCACACCCATATCAGCTCAACCAGCAAGGGCTCCTGGACAACACCAGCAGCTGCCTGGACGGCCCAGCCTCAGAGCCTGGTTATTAAGGGATCATTTGCAAAGCCTCCACCCACCCTGGGCCTTCTGCTGTCCTGCATCATGGACCAAAGAGCACAGAATCCAACAGGGCCTTCCCAGTGCAGGGATGCAAAGCTCTGTAAACCACCCAGCCCAAGAGAGGGGATTTCCATACAGCTCTCTTCCACCGAGCTCTTGCAGGAGCCCACAAACCAGGTGGGTTTTAAAGCTCACACCAAGCATGCAAAGGAGCAAGGGTTAGGAGTGAGCTCACCCCCCTCAAAGCACACCAGCCCCCCAAAAGCAGGAAGGTGGAGGAGTCTGACAAGCACTGGAAACTGGAAACAGCTCAAATTGGTGTGAAACAGCCAAATAAAGCTGATCTCCACAGGAGGGAGGTGTGCAGTGAGGCAACAGGCAAAGACAGCTCTATCTTCCCATCTGAAAACACATTAAAAAATGTTATTAGAAGTGACAGGTGCTTCCAGCAACAGCTCCTGTTAGACTAGTAAGGAAAGGGTCTACATATTCCCCCAAAATACCCATCACTCCCTCCATGCTCCAGCTCCATTTAGGGAAAAAAAAATAAACATACAAAAGTCATGTTAGTCCTGAGAGCAAAGCAAATATCAATATTTTGTTCTAGGTCACACCTAACTCCTTTAACACATCAGCTACAGTAAAAAAAGTAAAAAAAAAAAAAACCCAAACACAAAACAAACACCAAAAAACCACACTTCTCCCAGTTTCTTGTGCCCATGCCTGGTGGTACTATTTCATCACCCATTTCTGGTCAGTCTG